ACTGCGATTAGTACTGTGGGAACGTGCTGGACTCATAATGCGTATGCAAGGAAGCATCACAAAATATGGCTGTTACTTGTGCTTATGAGACAATAGGGCAACTCAACAGCACTACAAAACCGAAAAGTGGCCAAAGAGGACGGCGTATCCTGCAGGGAAAATGTGTGTAAAACACACCTCTTGTGAAACCTGATCAAATCTATCTACCACCCCTGCACATCAAGCTTGGTTCAATTAAAAGCTTCGTCAAAGCCTTCAAGCGAGATGGTATTACGTTCCATTACCTGAAAGTAGTGTTTCCGAAGATCAGGGATTCGAAGCTCAAAGAAGGGTTACTTATCGGGCCTGTTGTTCACAGGATAATGGCGGACAGTGCTTTCCAATGTCAGTCGACTTAATTTGATTTGGAAGCATAGAGATCCTTCATGACATTGTGTACAGAAGTTTTGGGAAGCACAAAGACAGAGAACAGCATAGACATCACAAAAAGCTTAATGCGGCCTATCGGGCTGTTGGTGCTCGAATGTCACCCAAGATGCACTTCTTGCATACTCACCTTGACTTTTTCCTTGGGAACTTGGGATGTGATGGCGATAAGCCTGTGGAGCGCGTTCACCAAAACATTTCATTCATTGGGCAGCGCTACGGTGGCAAGTACACGTTATATATGGTCGGTAACGAAATGATTTGGAATATTGGTAGCTCGGGAGGCTTGCTCATTTGTTGTGGAGTTCTCCGAGCGGGGCGACTTGGTTGCAGACGTGTCGCCATCATTCGAGGTGGCATCTTCAGTGCGGGATTGATAGCAGTTAAGTAGCCGTAGCTGATCGGTTAATTTTGCTGTTTTCTGCAACGCGATGGTGCTTTATCATGCAATCCATAATCTCGGCGAAGGCATTTCCCAGTGCCAAGCTGCAGTCAGTAATTAACGGCGAGTATTGCAGTGATGTTTTAGACGTATTTGCCACAGATGCATTCCGTATTTGTTGTGATTCAGCACGCTTACATATATAATTCGTACGACGTAGCCTTGACATTACTGAAACTAATCACTTGCTCATAACAATGTAAATTGACGTGCAAAGTAACATCGGAATGCATTTTTACGATCAGTGGAGTATATTCTATGATGTGTCGGCCGGTGGTCGAGCGGTCTACACGCTTGGTTTGCAACCATAAGGTTACCGGTCCGAATCCGCGTAGGCATGGGCGTCTTCGCGATATACTTAGCCAGCGCGCGACTGCTGGTGGTCGCGCGGCAGCGAAGCACCGTTACGGCGTTCAACTGACACATTATTTATTTTACTTATTCTATAATGTAGGGACTAGGCATTTCTGTTCTGGAAAATGATTTTTGTTATTGCACAGTGTAATAGGCGCTCATGTTAGTGCTTTGGCTTATTGGATTTGTTCAACCATCAAGTCTATGCTTTCCTTGCCTTCCTGTTGTCCATCTACCCGACCAGCCATTATGTCCTATTTTAGCTATTCTTCGAGTGAAGTACTTTGCTTTCTCACACTTTACGCCAACACCTGTGGGCATTAGGCCTACGCACTGTGTAGTTATAAACTGGACTGAAATTTGTTGTTCCCTCCTAGTGGTGATCCGTTGTTTCTCCTCCCACACTGACACTGTCGCAACGAGACTGGACCTTAACGTGGTGCGACAGTTTGCGTACCTCCTTGATACACTTGATGGTGCCTCCGGGCCCCTTGAGAACTACTCCTACCAGGTTGGTCATTGGTTAGAGGTCAGACAAACTCAGTCTCCTGGTCCTCCAGTTTGTGGGTTTGAAATGGGATGACGTCCATTTCTGTAAAACTAAATCATTGCCACCTCTCCGCTGCCTTGCGCACAGGCTTTTGTGCCAAAAGCTTTGGTTAAAGCCCTTCTGTTTAGGTCTTGGCGTATTGACAGTATCTCAGCCCACATACAGCCATGGCTATTTCTTCAAACCCAAACTTTACCCCTCATCGGCCGTCGCGCAGATTATCAAGGGTCGCCTTATCTACTACATACAGCAGGGCGGATAAGCAGAAACATGCTACTGCTGGTGCCTCCCTTCTTTCTTTTCCACCTGTTTCTCTTACTCTCATCCCGACCCCCATTACTATCCTTCCTTCTACAATTCCTAGCTTAATTGATAGCAACCGAATGCCACTGGAGTCGAATCATCTGCAGCCATCTTCCCACAACGCCTATCGGCAACAGTCCCATATAAGGCCACGCCGCCCCTTTTCCATGGCGACGTTCACCGTTCGCACTCTAAGACAAACAGGTCAACAGGCTGCACTAGCACGCACCTTGGACACACTGGGTATTGATGTGTGTTGTGTGTCCGAAACTAGGGTCAATCACCTTAATGGGGTTGTTGAATAAACTGCGCCCGGCTTATTCTCTCGTTATTGGTTGCACGCATCCGGAAACGTCGATGTAGCACTCATGGGTCAAGGTGATGTAGGTATCATTCTAAGCTCCAAGGCTGAGCCATCGTTGTTTGATTGGATTCCGGTGAACAGCCGTTTATGTGCAGCCCGTTTAACGACATCAGTTAAGATTGATTAATGTAGTAGTACTAGACGCTGTTTGTTTGTGATTTCCGTATATTCTCTCACCGACTGCAGTTCTAATGCTGTCAAGATCACGAACTGAACGCACTACTACGCCGTGCTACTAGTTGAGATATTATAGTACTTGCAGGGGATATGAACGCACAAGCAGGACCTCTGAGCTCTTCAGGAGCTCAGCTAATTGTTAATAATGGGCTTAACTGCAACCGGACTGACAGTGGCGAGCTTAAGCTGCAATTGTGTGCGGAACACCAGTTGTTTCTTAGTAGCACTGCTTTTAGACACAGTGGGCGCCGAAGTGCCACTTGGTGCCATGGATGGTTAGTTTAAAGCCTCCATCCGAGGCCGAGGTCCGAAACTTGATCACAGCCCGCAATAGTTTCCGTGCCGCTGGCCCGGATCCCCTTCCACCTGCACTATTTATGGATGGAAGTGAGGTCCTCTGCAAAGCACTGACCTACCTATTCGAACCTATCTGGAAGTAAGTATCCCGGCTAGCCGTACCGGATCGATTATAGTGGCAATATACAAGGACAGTCGCACAGACTGTGCGAACCACAGGGGTATTAGTCTAATGTCAGTTGTGACAAAATTGTTGTCCTCGATTCTCGTTCGTCGCCTCACTGTGGAGCGGGAATCGGATTAGGGAAGAGAAGCCAGGTTTCCACCAAGGACGTGGCTGTACAGACCACATATTCACTTTGCGGCAGGTGCTAGAGCAGCGCCACGCATGCCGCAGACCGATAATAGCTATGTTCCTTGATTTCAATAGTCGATCGATCGATTCCGTTCGAAATACTTGCGCGGAAAGGTGTTCCCACGAAATATGTGAACATCCTTCGTGCTCTATACTCGAACATTACAGGCGGCGTCAGGGTTTACGGTGTCCTATCGGATAGCTTTCCGACCACAAGTAGCGTTAGTCGGGCTTGTCCGATTTCCCCATTTTTGTTCAATTTCGTCGTGCATTCTATCACGGAGTGTTCCCTTGCGGAATCTCATGATGTAGGCGTTGAGATCCTGCCTGGTAAAAGGTTAGTTGACCTTAACTATTCGGACAATATCGTCTTGCTTTTCGACGATATTTCAGCGATATAACCAACCCTGACTAGCCTCTCCAGAGCCTTCATTATTTGGTATGCACTTCGCACCTCCAAAGTGCAAAGGGTTGCTGCAGGACTACCAGCCACATTATAACCCCTTGACACTTGCTACCGAGGAGCTCGAGATGGTTGTTCAATTCACTTACCTTGACAGCTGCATCAGTAACGATGGGCGCATAGTAACTGACGTGAGCTCACGCATTGCATTGACCAGAGCTGCCTTCTCAACCTGCAGCATATTTGGCGACAGAAGGGAGTTTCCCTCCGTCTGAAAGGCCGTGTATACAAGGCTACAGTGATGGCCATTCTGCTCTATGGGAGACTTGGCCCCTTCGGTCTGAAGGTCTGAGGCGCCTTCAAGTCTTTGATCATCGTTGTTTGCGATGCATTGCTGGTGTCGGATGGCACCAGCGTGTCCGCAACGATGATGTGCGTAGGCGAGTACTAGGTGGTGATAATCATGCTAGCTCCCTAGAACAACAGATAGCATTGAATAAGTTGCGTTGGCTCGGACACGTGCTATGTATGCCCGGTCACCGCTTACCTAGGAGGGCCTTGTTTAGTCTACCAGGTGTGGGGTGGCGGAAGGTTCCAGGTGGACAGAAGTTGACTTGGCAGCGGGAAATGAAGTCACTGACGTTGGTCCGTCTCGACTTCTGGGCTGGAGTCCATGTGATTCGCCTTGTGCTTTGCTCGAGACTACAGTACATGGCTCGCAGTAAACACCATTGGCGCGTCTGCTGCCGTCTCCTAGTCGGATTTTTGCTGAGTTATCTGCGGAGTAATGGCTGATTATGACACGTGGCAGTGAAAGCCGCAAGGGAGCTGTCTCGCCGATTCCGCCTTATCTTTGCACGATAGCCAGCTGTTGGTGACGGAATGTTGTCTACATAAGGTGCAGGCGCCTTGACCCAGAATGTTTGCTTAGGGCATTAAGGTGTTCAGGTAAGTCCCCTTTCTCTCCCTCTTATTATTCTTTATTTCATAGGGCCATCATGGTTGTATGGCATTGAATCATCAGTTCAAATGGCTGTTGTACTGCAGTTGTTGATGTTTGTTGAGGACACCCCACAACTGTCGGTTTCTTCTTTGTTTGGACTTACCAGGTGGAGATAGCCTGAGCTGAGGTGGAATTCGGGGCCTAGTGCTTAACGGCTGACGCCTTGATTACTATGCCAATGAATCCGTGAGGAACTCTTGGCTTTCCTACTGTTTCGCACGGAGCCTCCTTCGTTCGTCTGTTATCTTGATTTATCTACATGTAGTATCGCCCAGATTACTTGCTTGTTTTGATCACCAACTGTTTCCTTCAACTTTAATGCTTCAGTTCCTCTTTGTGTGTATAGGGCGATGCCTGTACACAAATTTGAAGTCGGTCAGAAGTTACTCTGTTTCGAGCCAGACGCATCTAAGGCAAAGGTGATCTATGTTGCAAAGGTGAGTTTATCACTTTTTATTCCATCAACCACGTATTTATTGGCACAGATACTGAGCCAGGTGCATCATGGGTCGAATATACCATTCTATGAAGTTCATTTTCAAGGTTGGAAGGGCAAATGGGACCGTGAAGTTCCCGAGAATTTGTTACTGGAGAATACTGAATTTAACCGTATGCTGAAGAAAAAAATTGACGAAATAATTCGCACTGTAATTGTGATTAGATCTCATGGTGTATTCTTTTTCAGGTTCGTTGTCGCGCGAAACGTAAGCATTTGATAGATCACGTACTTGAGATTGCATCTGTTAGTGGAGATGATATTGACTGGGACCAAATCCCGGCCGGCCCTAAACGCAAACGTGTTCATTCCGAGGAAAATAAGGCTACGGTACCAGAAAATTCGTTACCACAAGAGGTCACGTTTTTGGACAAAATTGCTTGTGAACTCACCGACTTTTCTGGATCAGAGTCATTGGATGAAGAAGATATGATCCAGCTTGAGTTTGAATGTCTGCAGGTACCTTCTATCCTAATCATTTTGACAATGCGTATGCAGATACACCGGTGGTTTTTTGTGCCTATTGGACTTTCTTCTAATCTTCTGTCCATTCTAAACGCCAACCTCTCCGGCGCTGTGGCCACTCGATCCGGCTGGTGTTCTGTCCTACAGTTATTGCAAAGTTATCTGGACGGTTTCCCTTACGAATTTAGTCGCGCACAATCAACCCAGCGTCATGGTGAGACTGCTGTTTCTCTCTGCGTCTACACAGTTTCGCACACTTGGTTTTTATGCTTGCTAATACGTACGCTTAGTAACATTTCACCAACTCAACAATTCTTTGTAATCCACTAAGCAGCAATATCACCTTAGGCGTCAGTGGTCACTTAGGAACGAGGCGAAAGACTCTAGTGCGGATTGAATTCGTCTCCAGTGAACCATGCAGGTTGCATTCCACTCTAACCTCGTTTCGTCTTCCAGCATCTTGACTGAATCGATTTGTGGATTCTCAATGATCTTACTTTCAGCACAGAATTGAGTTCTGTTGATGTCAGAGTCAAATTGTGTGTAGCACCTAGACGTCGTCTAACGTGTTCACTGAAATGACTGTTACCACTGATGGGTGAACAAGTTTGTGCCTTGGAAGTGGACAACAGTTTTGAGAAAGTCCTGTGCAGAAGAAAGTAGCCGAAGAAGATGGACATTCGGCTAACTGTGTTATTAGAACATTGGACTGAACGATAGGAAGAGCAATTCTGTCGGTCCACTGCACCTGGCGCGTTGACGCAACAACTTCCATGATCGATGATATTAACTGTTACTAGAATAGAACAAAGCTTCTAGCACGGTTGACTTTCTTCCGGTGCTAACGAAGGACGGTGACTACTTTCGCATCTCCGATCACCATCATTATCATACTACACGTTAGCTACATGTGAGGGACTCTTCATCTGTTGTACCGCAATTAGGATCAGATCAAAGAGAATCACCAAGAAAAGAAGGAAAATAACAGGAAAACCAAGCGGAACAATAATAAACATATTCTTTGTTTTATGTTGTTCATCAACAATGAGATCGTAGTTTTGTGAGGGATACTAAGGGAGAAGATGAGAGACAAGGTAACTCACAACGTTTACGTCTCTGAGGTTAACGCATAGTCACGTTAACAAGGGTAACCAAAAATACGTGTCCACCGTCTTTCGAACCTCATCAGGGAGTTGAAAGGCGCTGACCGAGACCACCTCTGAAATGATCAAGTCATCTGCTGGTGCCCCTTTTTTCTCATCCAGACTCCGGACGCACAATTAACGCCCTTCGCGAGAGTCGGTGTGTTGGCATACGCGATACGTGGGCCGATCATCGGATCATGGTGCGTGATATAGCGGTGCTGAGCGGTGCACCAACTTTAAACGCATTCTCCATTCGCTCTTGCAAGACCTCTATGGAGCATCTCGAAATATCTCTGCCTCAGCTTTCTTCCGATAGCTTTTCTGATGCTCCAATGCCCTCAATTGGGTTCACTGATGGGGGAGACTAACGAGCAAGGTGCAGGAGGCTGTCCTAACGGAACAACTTGCAATACGCGTTCCAGATTCGTGTGGCATGGCGTCTTCTTACTCATCAGGAGAGCTTTCAGTCAAAATCGAGCCCATGGCATCCAGCATTCTACACAGCTAATCCGCACATCTTTCCTTGTTACAACTTCCTATCATGATACGTGATACATGAGGCCATCGGTCGTCTGTGCTCTAATGGGATGCAGGTTCTGCTGTCTAGTATTGGACGCTGCGCACGTGTTCCACGCGGTGAACGGCCCTTGGTGCAAACACAAAAGAGATTGGAGTTCGGTTCATCTATCCACACCGCTCGTCTTCCTTCGACCTCCGATTGCAGCAGTGCCCAAACGTAGGATTTTCTTCGTCTATTGTTCTCTTGTGTGTTCACGGGTTTCAGAACTGTGTATAATTTCTTCACGGTTATCAGCTGTCCGTCTATCATGCTATTGTGCTAACGCTCATCTCAAGCATGAACTTTGCTTTCAATTGCGGACGAAGTGTTTGCAGAGTGGCCGTGTGTTCTGACGACACCGATTTACCAAACAAATAATGTGGCTTTACGCCAGAGATCTTTGTCGCCCTCCATCATTCTTCCCTTTTTGTTCGATTGATTCCAGTCTTCTTATCTAACTGCGGCATGTTTTCAGTTTAACGCTTAATGAACATGCAATTTGCTCCCAATCCTCTCTTTCCTAAGTCTTCAGTATTCTGCTGTCGACCTCCATGGTGTAGCATTAATCACTAACGTTACCAAAAGGTTTTTCTCTACTTTCCCGCTTCGTGCCGATTATGTAATTGAGACGAACGATTATGAGCAACCAGATAGATCTATGCAGGTTATGCAAATATCAGTGGAATCAATTTCACACTTCATTTTATTGATACGCTTCACATTTAATGTTTCCCTCTGCATCATCACCATCTTACTCCATCTTACTCCTAAGATGTTAAGCGTTATATATTTTACCCCTTATATACTACTATACTGGTAGCTACGATTGTGGAATACGTGTTCACAGGCCGTTGGATAGGGGATTGAGTGTTCTCGATCTCTCGGAATCATAGACATGCAGGTACTGCTACCGTAGGCAGGAATTGAGGTGTTGTTCCTCCGTATGCAATGTTGACCAGCTATATGTATTATTAACGAGGTGGTTAGGATCTTCGGACCAATTAACTTTGCGGGAGAAGAGTCAACGAAATAGGCAGGCAGAGCTGCCGGGCAACGTTTGTGTGCTTCCCATGTGCGCATACTACACGGTTGGGATAATTACCATATATTTAACAGGTAGGGTTTACGAATTCAGTCGATACGCATCGGCTTATTTGTCAGTTGTCTTTACGTTGGGTCTGAATCAGTCCGCAGTGTGCAAACCGCTAATCGATTGGTATCCAGCTTCCCATGCATGCGCGTACATATCAACCGATGCCAACTGTCGACAGCCCCGTCACAGTTTCCTACTAGCCCGTTTTCATTCTTTTTTGTCTCCTCTTCTTTAGCCCTTTTCTGTTTACGGAAAGACGCACTGCTTTCATTCACTCGCTTTAATGGATCTGTATGTATGTATGTAATCTAGCTGGAGGGCCTATGGTGCGGTGAGGCTTGTGGTGGCTAGCTCCTGACAGATCGTCTACCCACTGCTGCTATTTGTGCCATGGGCTCATATCCTGGACGCCTCCTCTTGGCGACCGCGAGGTGAGAGTTGGGTTACGTCTTTCTCCCTGCTAAGATCTAAGACACCGATCCGCATGAGTCAATGAACCGACCATGTGCTAGACCCGCTGTCTTTTTGGTGTACATTTAATCGAAGGCTTTGGCTGAGGACCCGAGTCGTTCTCCTGTCAGGTGTGGGCGCCCTGCCAGTATTCTAGTCCATCCTCTTCGGAGGTTAGGAAGTGGTCGATGGCCCTCTTCCCGTAAAACCTAGTCTTAGGAGACTACAGTTCTACGGGTTATAAGCTCACAGCTCGATTGGCTTAGCGCACGAGCGCCACGCATTGTCTGACAGTGGGGGGGGGGCACCTCTGGGTGCTCAATGGTTTGCTACTGCTCGCCTCAAGCAAGGCAGCCCTGATCAAATTGGTGCAAATCCGCCAAAACGCACCTGCGTCTGGCCGTGGTCGCAGGTGCGTATCCTACTACGGTCGCAAGACATATATGAATCGTTACAGTACCTCAAAGGCTGCATTTGACGGCCGTCAAGCAGATCACAATCTGTCTCTGCAATTCCATTCCCGAACTGGATCTGCTCCCCACTGCCTTGTGGGTCAGGCCATTGCGCCGTAGGCTCCGGGCGGAGTCCCTCAAGCAAACCTCCAAACCACCCACTGCCTTTTGAGTCAGGCTATTGAGCCAAAGGCTCCCGGCGGAGTCCCTCAAGCGAACCTCCAAATCATTCACTGTCTTGTGGGTTACGCTGTTGAGCCAAATGCTCCGGGAGGAGTCCCTCAAGCAAACCTCCGAAGCAAAACAACCACCTCGCGTGCGATTGCCCACCAATGCAATTGTATGGCTTCGCGCAAAGCACTCAACATCGGGTGCTATAATGTGCACACACTACAGGAACGGGACTCTAGTGAGCGCCCCGAGCGACGCACTGCACTGGTCGCGATGGAACTGGCGCGCTACAACGTCGATATTGCGGCGCTCAATGCGACTCGACTTGCCGAGCAAGGTAAGTTGCATGAAGCAAGTGCTGGCTACACATTCTACTAGGTGGGCAACGCCGCCTCAGCACCACGTGAACATGGGGTCGGATTTGCAATATCCGATCGCCTAAAGAGCCACCTGATAGATGAACCAACAGACATCAGCGCGCGACTGATGACTGTTCGCCTACGACTCGGAAGAGGTAAGTTTGCCACTTTTATAAGCGCGTGCGGTCCGACTGTGTTATCCTTATGACACGCGTGCTCAGTTCTGCATTCAGCTTTCATCCGTGATACGGTCTGTGCCGAGGAGCGACTGACTATTTCTGCTGGGTGATTCCAACACGAGCGTTGGGCGTGGTTCATCGGTGTGGACAGATGTTATCGGTCCACATGGCATTGGTTCAGCGAATGCGAACAGTAACAAACTGCTCTCACTGTGTGCCACTCACGGTCTGATGACCACGAACACTCGGTTTGCACTGAGTGCGAGTGATATTCAACTTGGACACACTCTCGAAGGGGTTACACTCACCTGCTCGACTATGTTATCGTACCTCAGCGTGATATGCGTGAAGTGCGCATAACACGTGTACTGCGTGGAGCTGAGTGTGGCACTGATCATAAGTTGGTGCGCACCAAAGTGTACATATATTTTCGTAAATCTATGTATTGCACTCCCGCCGTTAATCGGCATAAATTTAACATTATCTCTTTCGGTACTGTGTAGAAACGTATTGAGCTGGAGAAGGAGATGGCTGCACGACTGTGTGATGTGGAATACCTAGCCACAGTGGGCTACCTGTGGCACCACATTCGCGGCCAGGTGACAGCTGCTGCGGAGGAGACCATCGGGCGCTCAAACTGCAAGCGGTCTGATTGGTTTGATGAGAACAGTGCGACTATTGGCACGTTGGTGTGTTAGAAGAATGCAGCGTTTGCTGCAAAAGTCGCGGAACCCAGTGTCTTGGGGAAGAATAGTCAGTTTCGCAAGCTTCGACGGTCACCGACCCAATAGCTCCGTCGCATTAAA